TGTATGTCACCAGAAAAGAGTTTTCTGAAGTGGTTTCTTTGATTGTGGGATGACGTTACGGCAGCATTGCAAGTCTGGGGTCAGTCATCGTTGTCCTGAAGTACTTTATGGGCTGTCCTTTGAAGAGAGGAGTTGCTGTAGACTCATTTAGTGGCAGCGCTGCCCTGATTGCAAGCTTTTCAATCTCCAGGCTGGGTGGTTGACTCTCAAAATTACTTTTGTTGCATCACTGCTGACTCCCTAGGTCAGTATTGCTATTAAATTGAATGGTCTCTGCGTGTGTCAGTGTGTGTTGTTGCAGGGAAGTGTGAGCGCTCACCTCGAGCTGACTTGTGCGGTCCAGCTGTGTTTCCTGTCTCAAAGCGACGGCAGGGATAGCGAGCGCGCGTGTGCTACAGCCGCCCAAGGAGCCGCTGGCTTTGCTTTCGGTGGTCTGTGTCGTGGCTATGGGTGGCTGCTCCTCCTCAGAAACAGCTCCTCAGTCCGTCCCCACATGTCGTGTCATTAATAAAGGTCATCTGGAAACTCTCCTGGCTGTGGCCGGGAGACCGTAGGCACCAAGGGCTTCAGGGGGGCGGTTTGCTCTCGCAGGCTGCCCAGGTGGAGATGCTGGTTGACGTGCACTTTCCAGGTGCCGTGCTGAGGACAGTCACAGCTGCAGCTGAGTGGGGTTGTGGGCAGTGCCTGGAAAACATGAGCAAAGGGCGGGCAGAAACGGATGGCAGCGTGGCCGGATGCGTCTCCATTTGCTTAAAGGGAAGTCGTGGGCATCCCTAAGGTCACTGGGAGCTCTGGCTGGGCCAGGCTGCCCTTAGCTGGGTTATCCTCGCGCATTCCCAGCAGCTCTCCGAGCTGGCGGTTGCCTCCATGAGCAGCAAGGGAAGGGGAGGGGGAGCCACTCACGAGGCAGGCCCAGGGCGAGCTCGTACCTGTGCCAGAGCACGCGCCTTGCTGCGAGCCTTGCCAAACGCTGCTCTGCAGCCCCTGCTGCTGCTGCCCAGGCCGTGGCTCCCTGCCCGTCCCGTTACCCCCCCCCGCCAGCCCTTCCACAGGAGCTGCTTCCCCCCCATCAGCCTTCTGCCGACGGTGGGTGCGACCAGAGGGTTTGCAAGAAAATGCACAGTGAGAAACCCTCTGGTAGAAGCTGTAGCGTAGGGTGGCCAAGCGGCCCCCTCGGCTCGCATCCGACCCCCCTTTGGCATGTAAAACACCTTTATTTGCTTCAAGGCTTTTTGGGTTTTCTGTAGATTGTTTTCAAGGTAATTTGTCGTGTTTCGGCAGTGTCTGCTGGTCGTGGTCGTGTCTTTCAGCAAACCGTGGCTGCGGGTAGTGGGAAGCAGTAGGACTGACCGCCTGGAGCATGAGAAGAGGCTGCTGGGAAGAAACGCGCCATCTTTCTCTCCGTCCCTCTGGCGTGTTTAACTTAAACCAGGAGGTTGCTGACATTGGCTCAGAAAGTACTTGCAGCAGAAAGGTTTATTGCAGATGGCTTACGCCCTGGCTGGCTGTGATGAATGAGAACCTCTGTAGGTGCTCAAGGAGTGTGAAAAATAAAAACCCAACCGCAGCATTCGGTTTAGGGAGGGTTAGCAGGGTTAACGCTGGGGATTTGGGATCTCTGAGCTAGAAACATCTCATTTCCATGAAGGGAGTAGCAGCCAGACTGCCCTGACCATGTGCCAGGGAGCCAAGGGAGGAGGGTTCCGTGGCATCCTCGGAGCACGGGCGCCGCAAGGCGTACACGTGTGACAGTTTGAATGCTGTCGCGTGCCCCGTGTCCCCTCGGGGAAGCTGGGCCTGGTCTGGTGACCCTGTCTGGTGGCTCTAGGGCTGTCCGACCCCTTCTGCGTTCATTCTGCAGACACCCTTCCCTCCGCTGCGCTTTAGCAGAGGGGTGTGGGATATGGTTCCAGGATTACTGTGGGCATGAAAATACATTAAGGGTGTCCAGAAATCCTTTTTTTTGTATGGCACTTTGCTGTCGCAACTGAGTTTCTTCCATTGATCACGCTGAATCACTGGGCGCCTGGCTTCGAGCGGTGGTGGGAGGTGTGGTTGCTTTTGTAGGAGAAACATGAGACTTCACAGCTTTCCTTTTCGTGATAAAATCCTGTGGGTTTGTGTGTTCGGGCTTTTTCCCTCTCTGCATTTGGTAACTTTGCCAGTCTCTGGTAAACTGCTTCCCTTTACAACTGGTGAACTTTGGACTTGTCCGAAATGCTGCGAGGGTTCCCAGGACCCCGCTGAGCTGGAGGAAGAAGGGAAGGGGTCCTTGCTCCTGTCCTTGCTCCTGTCGCGCTGATTGAGGAGCAGCTACAGAAAGCTGGAGAATGCTCAGCTTCTCAGAGCTTGACTGCACAGACCTCTTCTGCGCTTCCAGATCTCCCATGTTTGGCATCGGGAAGCACTAACCCCTTTCTAACACCTCTGTTTTGTGGGATCTGCAGGCGCCGTCCTCCTGCTGCAGCCGAAGAGCCAGAGCCGCGGGGGCTAGTCAGGTGGGGGTTGGTTTATGGAGGGGCTGGCCACCCTGTGAATTCGTGTTAGATACCTCGGTAACTGGACGTGGCACCTAACATAGATGCTCTGCCAGCACGAAGGGTGCGTGTCCCGCTCGGTGCAGCATGGCTCTGCCGACAGGCTTTGTCCCGCAGAACTGGTGGTTTGGGGATACAAACGAGTTGCTGTAACTGTTCACAGGGAAGCCCCCTCCTGCCAGGAGGGGATGTGGGAGTCATTCCCCATGGTCCTTGCTGGACCTTAGAGTGAGCTGTTGGAACTGCTCTGCTGCCCCTTTGCTAGTCTTGTCCTCCCTGTGCCATGTTGGCGGAGCCTCTTCCCGGCCGGAGCGGGGTCCGGACCTGCAGCTGGAATTCAGGCTCCAGCGTCTCTAACACCACTGGGTGACTGGTGGCCTTTTAACACGTGTTCTCCATCCAGGACCGGCATGGGAGGTGCAGGAACAGCTCTGTGGGAGGGAGATGGAGTCTCCCATGGGCCGTGGGGAAGCGCCTCTGAGTGCATAAGGAATTCTCTTATGGCTTTCGGCTCAAACATCGCGATTGTGGCTCAAGCCCTGATTCTGGTTCTGCTCACACCGCGGTGAGCGGGTGTCTGGCGGTGCTGGAGCACGTCACATGCTGCCGTTTGGCCCCGCTGTTCCTCGGGCTGATGACCGGCTGGTCCTTGGCTACTGCCCATGTGCGGGTCAGGGTCGTCACTTCCCCCTCATGCCCGCGGTGCGTCCCAAGCCCACGGCTGCGCGCTCCGCCACGCGGCGAGGGGGGGGCTTGTGGAGCCAACGGGCTACTGGGTTTTGTAGCCCACGTGGTTATATGGGGATGACGTGCACTGCTGTCGTCGTGCTGGGGGCTGGTAGTCGCTGCAGGCTGCAACGCCCAGGCAGCCCCCCACCATGCTCGATAATCACAGAAGTGATTTTAACAGTAGGTCTTGATCATGTAGATTTTATGTCAAATCGTGTGTTTGGAAAACAACTCTGCTGGCTGTAGATGGAACCCGCTGTCAGTCTGCTTCCCAGCGCCCGTCTCGGGGAGAGGGTTTGGGGGGCAGTGTTTTGGGATATCTGGCACACACGGGAAAGGGGCTCTGGGTCAAGCAGCCCTCTCGCCCTGCAGAGGAAGCACTTTGACAATTGGAGGATGTCACTGCTAAGGGAGGGAGTCTCCGAGGTCGAGAGCTACAATACCCGGAGACGTTACATCACAGACCCCATCTGCACCAGACGGCTCTCCTGCCACCCCCCAGCCCCCTTTCTGCATGCTCTCCCAGCTTGTGTTGCTGACATCACTTC